CCTGTTCTGATCTTGACCCACAACTGAGTAAACAATGAAAATACTAGACTAACAAAACAACTGTTTTATTAACTTTTCCTTTGTGCGCCCCCCTTGAGAACAAGCATCAGGCCGGTTTCCAATGGTAAATATAATAGGATGTAAACTCATACACGTTTCTGGGAAGTTGAAGCCACTGAGGAAAACTTGAAAGTGTGGATGGCACCAACGGAAAAAGGACTGCTCACAAACAGTTGCTCACAAACACAGGAGAAAGCCCTTCCTTACCCTTTTCCCTCTTCACTGTGTGATCCCCAATGTAATGTACTGAGCCCCAGCCTGGCCAGCAGTCACAGACAGTATCAGTTTCCCTCTCTTCCTCTTTCTTAGGCTGACATTTTAAAGCTATGCAGTTCAGGATTCTACGAAAGATAAGCACATGGTATAGCTCAAGGACCTCTAGGATATTTTCTGGACATGGTATTGGACCTTGTGAATGGAAAGAACTTTTGTAAAAGAGCCATTACAGCAGCAGCAGAGTCACAGTTAAATCCCAGTGATAATGACTGCTCTAGGCCAAGAAATAAAGGCTTTTTAAAACCACTTCTCAAAAATAATTTAGGTTTAACAACCTTTGTTGGGGGTCACCTCCAAAAGCTAATATACAACCTCTTTTTCATTTGTAGCCAGTAGGATCAACATTCAACTTTATAGGACAGGACTTTTTTCCCCCTACTTATGTATGAGGCCCATATAACACACATACACATACACATACACACACATACACACACACACACAGAGCTAGTATAGAGCTTCTTTCTGATTTGTAGCCAGTAAGAAGGATCGCCATTCAACTCTATAGGACAGGCCATTTTTTTTTCTGAATATGTATGAGGCATATATAACACACACACACACTCTTCAGAGGCCCAGGAGGAAATGACTGTGTAGAATTTAAAATAAGAAATCAAACGCTTAAGTTAGTAGTGTCAGGTTAAAGGCTTGCCCATCCCCAAAGCTAATTCAGTTCTGAACAGTCCCATGGGTGTCCAGTTGAACAGAAGGAGCTAGGAAACCTTAGCAGGACGAAGCCCAGCCTGGGGAATTGCTGGGACTCAGTGCCAGGAGCTGAGGCTCACCCCAGACTTGGTATCAGATAATACCAAGTGCTAGCCTGGACTTCCAGGACTAATCTACTCTAGGGTGGAACTTCCAGGTTCCCTGGTGTCTGCGCTGTAGAGTAGGAGGACAGTGGCCTTTGTACAGGCACACTGCACCCGGCTGGTGTAGATTTAGTAACTGAAAAATAGATTCAACACAGAGAAAGAGTCTATTAGTAGCAATTGTTTATGGGAGGTGCAGAGACAAGGGCGGGGGACCTAGGACAAAGTGGAAAGCGTTCCAAATTTTCTTTAGATTCAGTTTTCAGGGGGTTTTTTTGCATTCTAATTTGAACTTCTTAAATGTGTGTTTATAGGTTCTCTAGATTCTTAAAACCTTATATCAACAGTGGCTGTTAACCACTTTTGTATTTCCTCAGAAGGGCTCTTGGGTTTCAAAAGCAATTTTCCCCACCTCATTCCCCCTCTGACCCTCCCCCACCCTCCAAATAACACACACATCATTCCTTTTAGGGTCAAATTTTAAATCTGCCCCTAGATAACTCCTTAAAATCCTGGGATGAATTCTATCAGGGCAACTTTAATCCCCTAGACTAACTAAATTTTAACTTTGATACGGAACGGTTCTCCAGGGAAAGAAAAATCCTTCCACACATATAAATAAACAATGAAGAATTTAGCATTAAAACAGAGATTTTAGGACAACAATTATTTTCTACATTAAAAACCAATTAACACTATTTACCAAAGTCAATATCTGTTACATCTCCACAACCTGCAAGCTCCTTCAAGACTTACTCAGCATTTAGCATGCTTTGGGTTACTGTATGAATTGCAAAATACACCATTTGCCCAGAAATCTATCTTAGTCCCACTGCAAATTACTTATAAAACATGTGTAAACCATGCTTCGAACAGGCAGCACACATCCGCAAAAATCCATTCAATGCAAAGGTAAGTGGGGAAGCTTCTGAAATTAGGCTTCCCTTTAAAAACTGGAGGGACATTTAGTGTTTCCAAAGGTGGACTGCTTCTTACTTCAGTAAAAGTGGCTTTATGTGACTAGAAGAGAGAGTCGATTTTTTTGAGTGCATAACAGCACTCAATTAGAGAACAGGGTGGGAAAGACCACTCTCAAAATATAAGTTAATCACCAGGCACCAGCGCGCAGAAGAGGTCCACCAAGCACACGAGCTAAAATGGAGCCTGAATTTCCTCTCAGACTGAAAGGGTAGTCGCACGAGGTCAGGGTCAAGGTCACCAGCAGGGCAGGCTGCAGCTGCCCGACAGCGCAGCACACAACGGAGGGAAGGCGGTCCATCTCCGTCACAGCCGAAACAGATAAATCCCTTTTCCTCTCCTACCCTGCCTCTAACCCCGCCAACATTTTTTTTTTTTTAAGCAGGGGGAGACGAGAAGAAAGGAAAATGACCAAATAACCTCACCGCCCTGGTTTTTCGCACACAAGCTCATCAGCTCCCAAAGTTGCCATCTAAGGGCAAGTTCGCAGAGAACACTGAAGCCCATTTTGTCCGAGCAGGGCAAGCCTCCCCCCCCCAACCTCGCCGGGAGTCCTGCCTCCTCTCCCTCCCCACACACACCCCCCGAAAAGAGCTGGGAACTGTGGCCGGCCGGCCATGTGCACGCACACACTCTGCCACCAACTGCTGCGAGTTTTCTGTGAATCGCAGCACGGAGCCTCCCAACTCGCCCTCCCCGACTCCACCGCCTTCTCTCTCCTCGCACAAAATTTCCCTACACACGCAGCCGCCTGCGAGCGATTTTATGTGCATATATATTACATATGTGATATTATCCTCAGAACCTCTAGCGGGCAGGCGAAGAAAGGACTGCACAGGGGCATTTTTTTTTTTTTTTTTAAGGAAGGGAGAAAAAGCACAACCCCAGCTCTGTGCGTCGATTCCTGCGTACCGGGAAGGGGAAAGAAAAGGGGAATGTTTGTGGAGAGGGCTGCCTGTAAGTGCCCTTGCTCGCCACTTTGGCCGCGGCCCGGGTGACACGGAGCCGCGGGGGCGCCCGGCCCGAGCCACACGCGCCCCTTGCCCGTCCCCCGGGCAAGCACCGCCACGGATATTTCGCGAGGGGGAGATCGATCGCGCTGCCTGTCTGCAGCGGAAACGCACACGCTCACACACAGCCCTAGCCCGAGACACCATAACCTTAACCCTTCCCCCACCCTCCGTGAACTTCAGGTGACCGACCACGTCGGCCTGACACCCGGCCGGCGGGCGCTCCGGCTCCGCTCCCGCCCCCAGCCCGGGTTTTGCAGGCTCGGGCTCCGAGCAGCGCCAAACCGCCGGGAGAGGGGAGCAGCGCCGGGGGAGAGGAGAGAAATTGACCCTCCGTCTCCCCCGACCCCTCCCTCCCGCGCCT